CTATAACTTGTTGCCGACTACTCTTTTGCAACAGGAGAAGGATAATATTGATAGGTTGTGTATCCCTGCTCGATCTCTTTGAAGATCAAACGGTGTGAGTATTGTCAGTGATGGGTGCAGTGATGCCCAAAGGAGGCCAATAATTAATTTCATGGCGGTATATGACAATGCAGCCATGTTTTTGAAAAGTGTTCATTGTTCTAGCGATATCAAGGATAAATATTTTATCTTCAACTTGTTAAAGGAAGTAATTCAAGAAGTTGGGGTGGAGAAGGTGGTTCAAGTAATAACAAATAATGTTATTATCCGACCTTCGCTGAGACTCCTCTAGGTCATTGACCGGGTTCTTGTAAATGGATTTGGCGAGTGGGGATTCACCATCCAGTCCAGAGATAATCAAGTGCAAATGAACTGGTTCAGTTAAGTTTCGTGCCTTGAGGGCGGCTTCCTTAAAGCGATCAAGGTATTTTCGCAGCGATTCATTCTCCCTCTGCCGTATTCTTCCTAGAGCATAGGCCGGCATAGGATGTGCTTTACTTATGGCAAATTTCAAGCGAAAAGTGCCAGCCAAGTCCTCAAATGAATTAATTGAGTTTCTGGGCAGCCTGGTTATCCACGCCATTGCCTGACCTGTTAAGGTCATCCTGAAGATTCTGCCCTTGATAGGTCCAGTTATCCCGTTTAAAAGCATCTCTGTCTTGAATGCCTCCAAGTGGGAGTCTGGGTCCTGACTTCTGTCATAAGGAGGTATTTTGGCACTTTTGAACCTCGGCGGAATTGCCAAGTTCATGAGCCTTTCGATGAACGGACTGTCATTAGCATCTTCGTCATGGAGATAGTTATCTCCTTGGACGTTGCCCTGACCTCCGTTTCTCATGTTTGTTCTCATTGTGAGCACCTCGACCATGTTCAGTTGCCGGGTTTCAACTTTCTCGCCCCTCAGTTTCAGCTCGACCTTCACTTTCAGGTCGGCCTTCTCTTCCACCTCGGCCTTCTCTTCCAGCTCGACCTTCATTGTTCTGGTTTCGCAGCTCGACTTCCAGTGCCTCCATTCTTTGAGCATCTAACCTTTGTTGAGCCAGGAACATGTTTTCCACCTCTTGCATCCTTTGAAGGATTGCATTCAGGGTGGTGTTAGCTATATGATCGTCAGCTCTGGGTCGTTCATTCCATGGTGGCTGACGTACTGACTCCGTCGTAGGGTTGCTTCGGGCCATGATGTGCAATGACTCAGTGTCGACCTCTCCGACCTGCACATCCACCAAAACCGGGTCGACGAGCTGTTGAAGACGCTCGATGGCAGATTGATGCGGTGGTTGGGGTTGATCATTGTTAGATGTTGCACGAGTGTTCGTCATCGTGGAATGGGAATCAAAATTTATCGTTCCCCACAGACGGCGCCAATGTTCTGTCCTGTTGATCCATAGAAGGATACCTCTAGGGTATGCGCTCAGAGATATCTTAGAGATAGATATCTTGGTTGGCTTATAGCCAATATCCCTAGCACTGCGCACAAACAATAGGATTATAGCCAAGACGTGGGTGTGTGCATAATGTTGACAACAATAGTAAATAGGTCAAAAAAAAGTGTGTACCTGGGGGTCTTAAGCCTTGTATTTATAGGGGTTACCTCTTGGGCTGTGTAGATCTCCCAGTTGTAATAGGATTCAACTCCATTTCTGTTGAGATATGGATTCTATCCTTAGTAGCTTTATTGTTTCACATTATTAGGATAATTGGATAATTATTCTTTAAGGGATTCTTGGGTAGGTAGTTAAGATATGGATATATTCCATAACACCTACTTTTTATTTTCACGTTGGCAAATGTAGTTTTGGAAATGGTTATTAGCATTTTTATTCAGCCTCTTGCGTTTTAATGTTCTAAATATGAAATAATGATAGAGAGCATTTTGACTAGAAAATATTTTTTAATGTCAACGATCTTGCTCTTATATTTTATTGAATTGCATTCTGGGGTGTAAGGGGAACCTTACCCTTCTTTAAATCATATAGGTTTATCACATAAAAAAATAGCTGGTTTTTACGGCCGGTTCGCAACACCTGACGCCAACCCTCCTCCTTTATCCTGGCTTGGGACAGGCCATGTATGCAAGCACACATGGGCGGGGTTCTTACCCTTCTTTAAATGACAGGGAAAATTGTTCAAGTGAGTTAAAATTGATGAAAATGATAGAGAATAGTTTGGTAAAACAAAGATATTTTGTCTCAATGATTTTGTCCTTATTTTCATTTTGTGAGTAACATTTTTAAGTAGAAGGAAAGCCTTATTCTTCCTAAAACGACTAGAAGGAACCTTTCAGATATTGAAGATCCTAATTTTGTGGAATTATGTTGTTTTCCATTGCTTTTCCCTGAAAAATTACAGATGGAATTCACTGCTTAGGAAAGTTTTTTACAAGGTTGTTAAATTCAAGATTTTAAGTAAAATCGGAAGGGGCCTAAAAAATCATAAATCATAATTTGTAACGTAAAAAAATCGTAAAAAATCATAAAAACGTAAAAGCGTTTGGAATATTGGTAAAATCGTTTTGATGAAAAAAAGTTGTAAAAACATAAAATCGTAGTGATAAATCGAGCATTTAACAACCTTGATTTTTCAGTTTGAGGTATATTTGAACATTTTATACAATTATGTATGGGTTTGCTTTTTCTACGGTCAATGTAGATAACTTATCTACATTGAGCCCAAAACGACATCGTTTTGAGGCAAAAATCAAGGTATTTTTGTAATTATAATTTATCTCAGGGTTATAATAGTCTTTCATTATAATTTTTTAATTTTTCATCCAAAACGACGTCGTTTTGAGAGCGAGTGTAGATAACTTATCAGTAGAAACATTAAAGCCATTATGTATATTTCTAACTTCTCATGGGATTCTTGTTGTTAGGGAAATTTTGTTTTTCTTGTTTCCATGTCCGCAAGCTGTTTGATTGTGTCAATTTCCAAATTATTCTAATGCTTTATTTGAGATTTGAATGTCATTTATTGATGTGTTATCATTATGCAGAAATATAACTAATGTAGTAAATAAATGGGCATAGGAGTAGAAATTGTCTATTATTGCCATAATTATTAACATTAAAGCTAATTTATTAGAAAAATACACCTCACTCAAAATAATATATCTTAGTTTGTCTCTAAATTTTGTGGGATTTTGGGATACAAAAGGAAAACATTTTGGGATGGATTCAAAATAAATGCAAAGCCTCTATTTATAGGTGCTGCAATTTGAAATCTGATCTGGATAAAATATAGTAGGCCCACCAAAGGTCCAAAGACATACAATGAAGCCCATCTCACGAGGGCCCAAAATTAGGCGCGATAAACATCATCGCGCATGACACGACGCGATGCCTCCATCGCGCATGAAACCGACCTTTGGCATAAAACTTCAGAAGTAAGGAAGCTATCTTAAAGAACTAAGACGAACCCACCGCGCCTTTGTACTAATGAACAGATGACAGCACCAGCTTGCCACTACTCTATCAAAATAGCCTGGCATTAACAGATAAAGCTATTAAGAATTTAGCCAAATCTGCAGCCCAGGAACGACCAATCAGAGGCCATACCGCCTTCAGAAGGCGACAACAGAACTACTATATAAACAGAGGGTACATGCCCAGGTATGATCATCTAATCCATTAAGAATACACTTACACCTGCAACTGATACTGACTTAAGTATCGGAGTGTTATTGCAGGTACCCCCCTCATCCAGACTCAAGGATCGCGCTAACAAAGGATCAAAGTCCATATCCTATCATCAGCAACCTCAAGCCCAAGAAGCAGAGCATTCTCACCACATCAACCATGTGTGATTAGGTCTGATATACATTGGTCAGCCCATATTGTATTTGGTCTAATCAAAATTCCATTCAGCTTTTCGAAATTTCAACATTATACCACGTGGAAATTCATGCTCAATAATTAAATCAAAAGCCATTATATGGTGCATGTGGATAATAAACCATCAAAAGGTGGCTTTAGCTTTCCGTCAGGGTGAACTGAGAATTAAATTTTTTTTGTTAAGTGGAACACATTCTTCCCTCATGAGGGCGTAGTGTTTGACCTTTAAGATAATAAATAATTTTTCCATAAATTAAATAAATGAAAATCAAACCAATATTCAAGAATTTAAATATAAAAAAATGAAATAAAAGAAAAATTATTTCTTTTTCTTAATATTTTTTTAATTTTTTGCTTTTTAAAAAGACTAGACAAAGTTGAGTAACATAAAGCATTGGACAAAAATAGTGACATATTTGTATCCAAAAAAAAAAATAGTAACATAAAGATTCTCACTTTTTTTCTTCCTTGTGATATGTCGAGCAAGTAATTCGCAGTCTATTTTAAGAAAATTTAAATGGAAACTGCATCGCCCTTTATTGGTGGTTCCTAACTTGGAATTTCCTTTCAGGATCAGGCTCATCATATCCGTACAATTGGAGGTCAACAACGCAGGGTAGAAATAATAAAGTGAATTAACAAACGGTATTTGGTAACAAAGAAATTAAGTAAATGGAAAAAAAAGAGTCAATCCGTTACCTACTTATCATTTTTGAGAGAAATTTAAATATTTTCATCTCTGATTCATCCATACCCTAGATTCATCTAAATAATGTGTTCAAAAAGTGAAAGTTTGTGAGATTGGTTAACTCTAAAAATAAATAAATAATCAAGTCAATTTCTTTCATGCTAAGAGTTCAAAAGTTCCTCCTGATTAAAAGAGTTGTAAACCTTGTTCAATACTTCTTGAAGCTAATAAGAGTTCTAGTATGAATTTCTCATTTAGTAATTCATAAAAAAGATTGTAATAACCTACTGAATTATTTAGTGTCAACAACCCAATTTTTTTTGTCAATCATATTCTGTTGCAAATGCCAATTAAGTATTCTTTTCTTCATAGAATTCTTTGTTTATTTCGTAGCGTGTCTTGATACACGAAAGAAAGATCAAGCAAGAGTTCATAACTGAGCACATCATTTACAAAATGTTATTTCCCTACTTATGTATGTTCATCCAAAATTGGAAGGGGAAACCTTGTCATTTCTTGCTTCCATATCCTATCTTCCATCTAACACTGTAATGGAAATTCCATTAGCTGAGCACAGGTCACAATTTGCCGACAAAGAATGTACTTCAGTGTAAAAGCCAGGAAACTTTGGTTTTGGCAATAATTTCTCACCATTCAACATTAAAACCACAGATGACATGTCTGGCCTATCTTCTGATCTTTGTTGCACGCATAATAAGCCCACATGTATGCATCGCATGACTTCAGAGAGTGTGCATCGTTCTCCTAGAACTTCATCCAATAGCCCTAGTGCCCTCTCATCGGCCCATAATTTCCATGCCTAAGATGGGATAATCAGCTTAGTGAGTAGGAAACAGTTCGAATTTAACTAATCAACAAGTTAGGTAGGTCATTATGCTTACATGTCCAAGAAGGTTACGGTAGTGTTCTGGGTCTGAAAATTCTCTGTTCTTCTTCCCACTTACAATCTCTAGTATTATCACACCATAACTATACACATCTGATTTCATTGAGAAATGCCCGAACACGGCATACTCAGGAGACATGTAACCACTGAAAGTATAATTTTAAGTAAAATAAGACACACTTGGCAATGCATTCCGTAAAAAATCGCTTCAATCCAAAATTTTAAGACGTGAGGCGAGGGTCTTTTTAATGGTTTATACTAATTTATAATACATCCGCTCACGCAAGAGCCCTCTGGGCTTGAAACATGGATATTACACAAATTCAATTTTTGATTTACCTTGTGCTTATTTTAACTCCACTAGAAAGTGAAGAGCGGTGAGGATCGAACTCGTGACCACTTAGTCGTTGAGGCTCTGATACCATATAAAAAATCACTTTAACCCAAAAGTCTTTTTAATGATTTATATTATTTTCTAACACATTCTAAAAAGCAAACATAATATGGTAGAAACTATAACTTACTATGTTCCAGCCACCCTGTTTGTGTTTGCCTCCACTTGATCTCCCAAAAATATTCGAGCCAAGCCAAAGTCCGATATTTTTGGATCCAAATTTGCATCTAGTAGAACATTGCTGGTTTTTAGATCTCTATGAATAATCCTCAGTCTAGAGTCTTGATGAAGATAGAGAAGTCCTCGAGCAATGCCAGTGATAATGTTGAAACGCTTAGCCCAATCTAAGACCTTCCTTCTCGTTTCATCTAGTCAATTATACACACATGTAAGCACACCATTAGCAATTTCCTAAACTTCACAAACTATACATAAGAAATAACAAAATTGCTACGATGTTATAAAGCAGATTGCGAAGGTTCAAACCAAAAATAAAGTAGTCCAAGCTTTTGTTAGGCATGTATTCATATATCAACATTTTTTCTTCTCCTTGAATGCAGCAAGCAAGAAGCTTAACAAGATTTCGGTGCTGGAGTTGAGCTATCAACACTACTTCATTCTTGAACTCTTCAATTCCTTGTCCAGACTTGTTTGAAAGCCTTTTCACAGCTATCAGTTGCCCATCATTGAGTTTTCCCTAAAAACCATCATCTATATTAGTTAGAAACTTCTAAGGAAAAATAGGAATCCTTGATCAGTTTTTTATAAGACCTTGTATACTGGTCCAAAGCCACCTTCTCCCAGCTTGTTACTGCTTGAAAAGTTTTCTGTAGCTTTAGTTATGATTGCCAAATCAAATGTTGGCAGATCAATGTCTTCATTCCTCAGTCTATTGTTGAAATGTGTCCCGTAAATTTTGCTTGCTACACCTTATAAGATGAAAGATAACAGGAGATAAGCACTAGGACATAAATACATGATTTTTTCTTTTCTTTCCTTCGGATGCCTGGCTACTATCATATTTAGATGATAAATTATATCTAAAGGCAAAGTTTACCTCGCTTTCTAAGTGTCATTGTGGTGACGAATGTAGTTAATACGGTAAAAATCACACCAACTGTGATTCCTACCAGCTTTTTCTTGTTGTCCCCATGGCCATTTACCGCAACATGAACTGATTGATAGATGCAGAGCATGATTAGTCAAAATTTAATTCAAAAGCTCATTAGAAGCTGACAAATGTCTGACCAAATTCTTTAGATTGAAGCATTATTAAGAAAGAAATGTAATGTCTTGTCTTGATGATGGCCTTACTAACTGCAATACCAAAATACTCCGCTGAACTAACTATAAAGAACCACTTCAGCCTAAAATTTGAAGGTGTTGGATGAGAGTCTTTTTAATAGTTTATATTATTCTCTAACATACTCCCTCTCACGTAAGAGTTTTTTGGGCTTGAAGTGTGGATATTGTATAAGCCCAATTTTTTTCTTTTCGGCTTATCTTATACTTATTTAATTCCACATGTGGGGGGCGATGAGGATCGAATTCGTGATCTTGTGATCAGTGAAACTCTAATACTATGTAAAGAATCACTTCAACCCAAAAGGTATTGGGTGAGGGACTTTTCAACGATGTATGTTATTCTAAAACACTCACCATGAAAATTCTCAGTTCTCCCTGTCTTTCCTGTCCCTACCAGTTTCCGTTAAAACAATGAAATGTCATGATAAATGAAAAACAAAAAATTTAAAAAATTGAATACCTTCTAGTTCTGAAGCAGGGACTCTGATATAAAGGTCTTGTCCCCCCTGAGAGAATTGCCTCATGTCAATCAGATCATGAAACCAAAGTAAACAGCCACTTCCTCCATTACGGATATCCAAATTAGCAAATGATGTACAAGAACAGTTTTTCAGACATAATATCCGACATTCCTCATTGTTCATTGTCTTACTATACCATGATGAAGAAGTGTCTGGTAATTTCATGGCAGTGTACCTCCAGAACCCATCCGTGTTAGTACTGTTACTACAATCAGATTTATTCCTTGGAACACAACCGTTAGACCCATTTGAAACATTCCATTGTTCAGGAAACTTGGGAACAAGTCCTTTGAGGCATTCACAAGATGGAAAATTGTTATCATCCGTCTTGCATATAGAATATGCACCACAGAAGCCATAACTTTCACACGGGTCCTCTCCTCCAATTGATATAACTTGCTTGCTGCTTGTTTGACTTGTCCAAACTAAATTTTGCCCCACGCCTGAAGGGATCAGGGTATATATAGAAAACATGGATCTGTCTATGAGATGATTCTCACAATACACTTCTTTTTCATTCAAAACGAATTCATATCTATCTTTTGGTGCCACCAGACGAGTTGGATATCCCGTAAAAGTAAGGCCATTCCATGACCCTAGTCTAGATTCTATTGAAGATCCCTTGAATCTAAAAATTTGCGGATATCCTCTAAGGTCGAGTTTTATAGAATAGTCTCCCTTAGCTGGATCATCTTCACTTTTCCAAGATGATAGAAACCTTTCTAGACCAGTTTCTAAGTTCCAACCAAGCTTCATTCCCGACAGAAATGTATCACCGGGATAATCAAAACTTTGCCATAAAAACTGGTCCTCGTCGGTGCCTTGTCCATTTTTCACCACAAGATTTCCTGAGTTCAAGAGCTGCGATATTGGATTACTCACTGCTTGGCTTGATATGTTGGACGACCAAACACTGTTGTTTGTGCTATTGAGAATTACAAGAACGCCACTTTGATTGAGTTTTAAAACTCCTGAATTATTGTGGAGAGGTGTTTCTCGGTTGGCCACCCATATCACTGTTAAAGGGGTTATATTGCGGTGCCATACACCCAAGTATCGACCTGTTGAATTTCCAGGGCTGAAGAAACCCACTTCAAAAGTTCCATCTGCTGAAACTAAAGTCTCACCCTCTCGGATAGATTCACTCACTGCTATACTGTCCAGTGAAGTGGAAGTTACCGTCATGTAGGAGGATAATAAGAACCAAATATATAAATAAGAACAAGATATGATGTTATACACCATTATTTTGTAGAGCTCTGTGACCCAAAGTTGACTTCCAAATTACATAAACAAGATGCTCACTTTCCTGGCCTTTCTCACTAGTACAATGTTAGGAGATATTAGTTTTAGTGAGACTATATATGGTTTTACTATATATGCAGAGGAAGAGGATGACATGTAATAGAATGAGAAGAGACTCAAGAAACTGTAACAGAAGCGTAAGGGAAGAGGTAAATGAAAAAATCTTACGATGTTAGTTGGTTCGTGGAGAAATAGCGCCAAACAATAGTTGTCAGAAGAAGACTGTTTTAAGTCATTGACAGAGTCTATTGTTGATTAATATATACGTGGCAAAAAATGGTCCAAAGAAGTGGGATACGTTTACCTCAAATTCTACTCTCCCTTTCTAATTTTATTTTATTTATTTTTCTACAATTTTTTACACTTTTCAAACCTTATATAAGATTAATGTTTCTCATATTATAATAGATAATTTTATCTTTTATGTACATATAAAAGTATGTAAAGTCTATATTATTTTTATCTTTCTCTTCTTTACATGGGCTTCACATATTTTTATGTATGTATAAGAGATAAAATTATCTCTTATAATATAAGAAACAAAAATCTTATAATAAAAAGGGGAGAACTCTAGTAATAGCCAAAAGTTGAATGTCCTAAATTTTTTTAGGATAAAATATAATTTACCCTCTTGAACTTTGACTGTTTTAAATTACCACCTTATACTTTCAATTGTTTCAATTAATCTCTTGTACTTTATGATGGTAACCACTATTATTAACACACACACACACAAACACATACACGCACATCCGACCTGTTAAACCGGTTGAACCGAGAACAGGACCATTAATTGATTCGGTTCAATCAATTAACCGGTCATGCATGCAACCCAGTCAAGAACCGATAAACCGGGTTCAACTAGTCTAACTCGCTATCGATTTTCAGTTTAAACCAATTTTTGAAAATTAGGAAAAAATATTCCACCACAATTGCACTTGAGTTTCAAACTTGGCACGTAAGGGAAGGAAGGGAAGTGAAATGCAAACTACTAAGCCAAACCACTTTGGTTGTTATATTATTTTTATTTGTATATTTATTGTATATCTTTATATAAATTTGTAACGCCCGGCCGTTTCAAGAATCAATGATTATCCCCACATACTAACAACGAGACTTTTCAGTGTGCTTTTTCCTCACTCGCACACTTTCCGGGAAAACTTCCCAGGAGGTCACCCATCTCAGAATTGCTCCAAGTCAAGCACACTTAACTATGGAGTTCTTCCGATCCGGGCTACCGAAAAGCAGATGCATCTTGTTAGTATAGGCAGTACCAATTAATTCTTATAAGTTATCCCAAACTGTGCAGTCTCACACCTGCACAGTCTTTGGAATCTCTTTCTTTCGAGTGTCGATTCGATTCATTCATGCATGTAACCCCACGCTGGAAGCCTGTCAGGAGCCGCTCCTTGTTCGTGCCTCTTTGCACCGGCAATCACTTCCCGCCCTCGTCAGCGCTCGGGATGTCACAAAATTCAATTTGAGCAATTCAACCAATGACCTATTGGTTGAACCAGTGACTCATTTACCCGATACCTTGTTTGAGTAGATGACCAACCTGGGTTTAATAACATTGATGGTAACAAATTAATATATATGTTAAATTTTGACTAATAGTGTTAACTCCCTAAATCCCTAATTTTATACTCCTTCCCAAATTTACATCCATCGCTGTTAGGAATTTAGGACATTGTTAACCACACTAGTTGGTTAGGTAAGTGTAAATTAAGGGAGAGTTTCTCTATGTTACTGCAATGATGACTAATGAAATAATCACTCAACTTATGGCGTATACCTTTTGAATCACTTTCCTAGACATCAACTGTAAGTTGATCTTTCTCTCTAAACTCTTTCTCTTGAAGCATTTGTTATATTTTTCTCTTGGTGTGTTTTCCATCTAGTGTGGTAACTTATTTTTCCATGTGAAAAATAAGTAGCCTCCATGTTTGAATTTAGAGTAGCCTACCATGGTTGAAACTAGTAGCCTACGAAATTAAGTCAACATTTCAACAATCCCTATTTTTTTTTCTTCCCAAATTTTTTTCAATAGTATTTGAAAAATATGAGAACAGGCACAGAATAAATTAAAATTATTCAAGTATTATCTTAATTCCACGATGCTAGCTTAAATCTATTCTCTCCCGTTTGGCTTGGTAATCCAATTGTTCTGCACAAGAGTTAATTTTTTTTTTTTTTTGTTCTTGCTTTCTTTCTTCTTGCCAAATTTGGAAAGACCTGTATGAGGTGAATGGGGCATGTTAATTAGTTTGATTATATAACATGTCAACTTGTTAACCACGTGGATGTTAACAAACTGGCTACAGACAGGCTGTTACATTACTGTTCACTGTCGATATTACTGTTCACTGTCGCTTCCGCAAACTTACCTGAAGAAGATTGCCGGGCTCCAAGACACAACAAAATCAATGTTTTAATTAACTCTGAATGTGAACAAAATTTTACACCACTACTTTGTTTTCTTTTGACAAGCACCATCACTAATGTTTGGCTATTGCCATATATCAGATTTTCTTCTGGCCGCCTTATTTTTCTTGGAGCTATACCTGAAGAACCTTAAACAGAAAAATCTCTATCTCAAGAATAGGGTTGCACATATTAAGCGGTTACAATTACAAAATAGTTTTGGTTTTTGTTCAGAAAAATGTGGTTCAGTCTATGTTTCCTGTCATCAAAGAATGCACAATATTCAGCATGGTGACAATTACAGACAGCTGCTAGTGAGTAGTGACTTACATGGGCAACAGCAATCATGAGCAGGATTACAACAACAATCAAGTTTTCACCACAGCACAACTATCATTCAATTTAAGGAGGCATTGCAATATACTACAATAAGGAAAAAGTAGCTAATTACGAAGATGCTTGTAAAATCAATGGCTCTACATGATGGTAGTACACATTTTAATTATGGAAAAGTAAACCAACTTGAACCAACACCAAAGAAGACTAAATACAATGCTTGATCAGAGTGAAAAAAAATCTGCAGAAGTCTTCACTGACACCTCGTTTTAATCCATGTAGAGGATTGTTTCAGGCACTACTAGGTTCAGGAACAGGGGTATACCAGCCACGATGAATCTCCACTGCCTTCTTTCTTCTGGCAAGCCGAGACTTGCGATTTGCTCCGGTGTTCCGGTGCAGTGTGCCCACTTTCACTGCTTTGTCAATTACTGAATATGCCTCTCCAATCAGTTTCTCAATTGGGAGGATTTCGTCAACTTGTGCCTCAGGTTTCTTCTTAAGATCTTCCAGAGCTTCCAAAACCTGCATAACATTGATTAGAAGATTGTCAAACCATTACCCCCGCAAACAAATACTATAAAACTAGAAGTTGAGTTGGTTATGTAGACTATGAGTTGTTTGGTGGAAAAACAAGGCATATTATAAGCTTTGACAAGAATCAAGAGTGGTCTTTCACGAGTATTTTATACTGTGAATAAGATCAGGAGCATCTGCTGTGGTGGTTTATGATTCACAATGTTAAATAAACCTAAATCTTATTGTTTGAAAGTGCTCAATATAAGCACTTGCAATTAAAACATCTTATGCCAATGTCAGGATTCTTATTGTTTTCGAAGTCTTATTAAATTAGGAGTGGACTGAACTTGTATTGTTCTAGAGTACACTAATACTGGACCTAGAATGCCTAGCATAAAATAGGAACATTAGTATAGAGTTTTACATCACACATGTCACACCATCATATTAGGATCACTCAGTCCTATTTCTCTTCTCTTCCATCTTTTCCTGACAATTTCAACATCTTTACTCAGGAAAATCCTTAGAGAAACTAGAACAACGCCGAGTCATGCACATGCCAAATGTGAAACCACAGATGCAAGTAGGCAGACATGCCTGTATCTCTGCTCAAATAAGTGACTCTAAAGAAGAGAAAGATAAGAACAATAATGTCTTCCACTTTAAAGTCTTGCAAGGGAATCATGCCAGCAGAAACCCAAAATGTTTTTCCCAAGCACAGTGTTATTACAATTTACAAAATGGGATGAGAGGGACATTATTGAATACCATTTTTTGCTACAATCTGTAACAACTTTTACATACTGAAAAAGGATATCACATTCTTCTTCAATGAAAGCAAAACATTCAACTAGTTATGAATATCCATAGAATTTATAGAAGAAAAAGAAGAAAGGCATACTTATTCTTTTTCAGTCTATGCTAGCAACCTGCCAAACTTGTAAAAGCAAATTTTGTTCAAAACAGAATCTGTACCTCCAGAAATTAAAAATTAAATGCGAACTCATTAAACAAAACCTGCACAAAGTATCCTACTACCACAGTTAGGTCCAGCAATTTACAGCGAAGAGAAAATGTTACTTCCACATAACATTTCTTATTTTCTCTCACATAACTCACATACTTTATATCATCACCATCTATTTTTTCTTCTGTCTCTCTCTCTCCCCCTTTTCTTACACACTATCAATAGACCACATTTCCCAATGCGAGTTATGTGAGTTGCATATTATGTGCAACTAACATTACTCTAGCAAAAACACAAATTAGATCCTTTAGATATAAGTGAGATCATCATGTAACACTTACACCGGGATAAATTGATGCTACCACCCACACACACAATACATATATATATAATCCACTTTCTTAAGGTGAAATGAGGTACACAATTGGCCATCCATAAGATCTAGTACATAAAAAATGGTTACATATTAAAAAAATATGATTGAAGACAATGCAAAATTATGGAATTTGCATTATAAAAAAAAGATAATGGAATTTTTGCATTTGGGGGTACCTTCTTCATACGGGTTCTTATCTCTGATTTGCGGGCTTTGTTGTAAACGCGGCGTTTCTCAGCCTGGCGAGCTCTCTTCACTGCCGAATCGACCTTTTTCTTCGTAGCCACCTCGCAAACCACCAAGCTACGCCTCTTCACTGTGTTCAACGACAAGCTACTACCTGAAACAAAAACCAACACAGACCAATAATTGAAGACTCTAGCAAAATCAATTTTTTCGCATTCTGAGCTGAAATTATGTCAGAAAAGTGAAACCCCATTAAACAAACAGGACAACAAAGACAACAGAGAAGGAGAGAGATGGTAACCTTGTAAAAAGACAGCGTGAGAAAGGTTTCTGGAGAAACTCAGAGAAGTGGAATTGGAGATGGAAGCAGAGGAAGAAGAAGAAGAGGAAGTGAGGGAAACGTTCCTCATTTTGGAGGGAAGGGTAAGCCATGAGCATGAAACCGCTGCCATTGCTCTCTCTCTCTGAGCACAGAGCTCTTCAGTTTGATGGGTCTCTTTATCCGTTGAGGTGAGGGTATGATGAATATGAACGGTTATTTATGTATCCAAAAAAAAAAAAAACACTTATTTATTATTTAATTATTTGAAGAGTAAAATACACATTTGAATTTTGTTCCTCAATGAAAATTCTGAATTTTATAATGTGATTCACTCATGAAAAAAAATAATTAGCAGTGAGATAATCCTTTTATTCTTTTTTTTTTCTCTATATAGTTTTTTTAAGATTTCTCCAAAATTAATCCATTAATTAATTAAGGATTTTATAATTATCATATTATATGAGAGAAAAAAATTTATGTCATAGAAATAAAAAATCATGTGCAACTCATACGATGTGTAAACAAAAAAATTCTTCTTGAGAATCATAAAATCCATTAATTAATCGAGATAACTGGTTATGTTAATTCATGTACTTAATGGTTTTTTTTGTGTGTGTGTTACTTTCTGGTTATTTTTAGCTGTCCTATTTGATGTTAATTGTATCGTTGTTTGATAACATTTTTATTCAGAAAATAACCAAAATTTATGTGCAACCTGTTTCCGTAGAGTTTACTTCTTTTTTTTTCTTTAAAAATGTGCCATACATAAATTTTCTCTCACGCTTCCCACAACCGTTTAGGCTACCTTTCCTAACAGTACATTTCACATACTTCAATCCCTTGCGCATGCTATGCATGAATTAATATTAAATAGAATCTATTTGCTTACTTAAATATTTTATTCTGTATACTAAAAACATTTTTTGACATAGGATTACTTATTAATATCAAACAAAATTATTACATGCATACAATTCACGAAATAGTGATGAGTGTTGGATTATCTTTTTGGATTTCTCTCCCGAATTCATCTATTTAATCTTTTTCAAGCTTGATCAGACTCATTTATATTAGAGTCCGTTTGCCAAAGTTTTTTTATTTTTTTAACTTTAAAACTAAAAATTAAAATTAAAATTACAATTATTTGAGGATTAAAAAATTTATTTACAATATAAATTGTATGATAAAGTAATTATATAAAGTATAATTTTATTTAAATTATCTTAAAGAATTTATAATTACAAATCAGGGAAATTTCAGATAAATTTAAACTTTATTCAAAAAATAAAATAATAAATTCTCAAAAAATAAAATTATTTCATTTTTAATATATTTAAAATTAATAATATGTTTATACATTAATAAATAATATATTTGGAAATTTACCGAAAAAAAATAATATATTTGAAAAGATTTTTCAATATATTGATCTATAAAAAATTATTTTTAAGAGTTTGAACATGATTACATAAATAACATATGTTTATAAAAATAAAATAAAAGATAAAAAATGAAATCTTTTCATAAAAAGCTACTTTTTATATTTTTCTTCAATAATTTATTTTCAGAGTTTTTATAAAAAAAGTGTTTAATTTGACTTTTCCATAGGGAAGATAAAAATAGTTAAGTCAAATAGATACTTATATATTCAGTACGGGATATTTCTCAAAATTATACACTCAAATTTAACTCTGAATAGAAAAATTCAAGATTTCATATAAGCTTTGCAGCATTGGGGAGTAGGCACGATGATCGGTTAAAACTTAATTAAAAATAAAAAATAAAAACTATACAAAGATGAAAATTTGTTGAAAATCAACTATAATATTTTTATACATGCCATAGCAGACCAAAGCCATTGAAATATAATCCACTCCAAAAATTATGCTAAATATACTCATTCTATTGAGTTTCAACACTTACCCGATTTTAAGCAAAAAGGTATTTGAAACAAAAATACATGTACTGCAGGTATTGCTTGACCACTCAGCTCGTGTTAACTAAAATCTCTCAGCTGTCATCACTATAGGTTGAGCTTCAACATGCTTTCTAATAAGATATGGACCCATTCCAACAGCTTCCTGCAGCTGCATGCAAGATTACTAAATGTCACTTTGATAAATATATTGGTAAACAAGTTATATGTTGTTTTGTTTTCTTTATTTCCTTTGAGCATAGAAAAACTTAGGAAAGATGGGAATGGATTCTTTCATGTTTCTTTTAACATGACCAGGTCATGCGAGACAATCTCATCAACAGTGATGACTGACAAGAAACAAAAGAGACAATGCAAGAAAGGATAACTGTTAATTTGTCTATGGACTGTTGAGATCGTCTCACACGACCTGGCCGTGTTAAATGCAACAAGAGGGCATCCGTTCCCGAAAAGGATACACAAACACAAATGGACAATGTAGTAGAAAGGTTTTGTATCTAACCTTCTCAGTTATTCCTGCAAAAGCAGGATCAGCAGAAACTCTACTAGACATGTTCAATGATTTCTGTATCGCCTTGCAGCAGTTATATCTAGCTTCCATACCTGAAATGCGCCAAATTGTGGTAAAATAATGCATGTCAAGAAAATATAGTTAAAGCAACGACCTATATATTCAATAAACATATGGTATGACTATTACAGGCATATTAACAGTCATCCAAATCATAATACAGACCTATTTTTGTGGCTTCAGTAGTTGGATCAGTCACTATATTTATAATCTCTTGTTTTGAGCATATCTCCATCAAGCACCATGGTCGGGTAACCAATCCACTTATCATCCTATAACCCTGAAAATATGTTACACAGAATGCCACATCACAAGTAGATTTTTTAAGGGCAGTCATATATTACCAAGTGCAGCAATGCTTAAAAACAAGTTTGACTAGTGTACACTCCCCTTCTCCATTGGGAAGATGTTGGGATTTTAAGGAAGTAAAGCAAAGTGCTTGTTATTGATTGCAGCATTTTGGCTTTTACAGTAACCGGACATTTCGCTACAAAAAAAGCTAGTATAAACAGATCCACTTCTAAAGTTAATGAAATTATTAGGCTCAAAAGATCTAAATGCTACATTGTTGAGTTTTTGATTTATAGACCTGGCATTTCCATCCTACAAAATCATCTAAACTAATTGATTTCTGTTAGAGAGATATAATATAAACCATTGAAGGTCCATTACTTAAAAGCTAGAGCTTTTAGGTAAGATGGTTGTTTATCATGGTATCAGAGCCAAGGTGGCCACGGGATTACGAGTTCGATCCTTACCACCCTCACTTTTTAGTGGAATTAAGTTAGTATAAAGTATAAAAAAGAAATAGGCTTGTGCAATATCTACACTTCAAACCGAAAAGGCTCTTGCGTGAAGGGTGTATTAGAGAAGTCTAGTATAAAACCATTAAAATGAGCCTTATCAACTTGAGTTGTTAAGTGAGATAGGTTGATAAACAACTAAAGTAAAGCGGGAGGGAAGTTATGTAAGTGCCATATAATGTTCAGGTGGCAGCTACAATGAAATTATTCAACCAATATAGCTCATAAAAACTTGTATACAGACGTTAATAATAATGTCTCACCGCTAAACGGATTTCTGAATCCTGCTGCAAAACTGACAGAAAAAGACCCTGCAAATTACATGAACTTAGTGAGATTGCAGCATATCAACATTTGGGCAAAAAACCTGTTGTGCAAGAAAACACTATGAACATTGTGCCCTTGAGGATATTTGGCTCTAGGAGCACAACTTTTTAAAGGGAAAAAAGCACTCTCGGCCTGCAATTTGCAAATAATTGATCAATAAAATCTTTCTAAAATTCACGGAAGCAAAGATGTTCCCTTCAAACGATGAGTGGCAGAATTACTATTTAATCATAGCTAAGTTTCCATCAACAGATTTTTTGTCAAGTGCATATAATCAAGATGGACCATTCACTATGTCCCTAATATTATCTTTCATTACTTTCTATATAGTGTGTGCATTTTGCAGATGGTGTATGCAAAAAGACGGTGTATGTTTTTTGCAGATGATATTGTGCTTATTGATGAGACCAAAGACGGTGTTAATAGAAAACTTGAACTGTGGAGAAGCACGTTGGAGTCTAAAGGATTCACGTTAAACGGAGCAAGACTGAGTATATGAAGTGTGAGTTTTCTTTAGTAAAAGATGTAGAGCAAGATCCCGTGTATCTAATTGGTCAAGAGGTACCCAAGAAAGATGCTTTTAGATACCTGGGATCCATTCTACAAAAAGGCGGAGAGATTGATGAGGATGTAAATCATAGAATCAGAGCAGGGTGGATGAAATGGCATAGTGCTTCTGGGTTTTTGTGTGACCGCAAAATTTTCCTTAAGCTAAAAGGAAATTTTTTTATAGAACAACAGTAAGGCCTGCAATGTTATATAGAGCTGAATGTTGGCCAGTACATAAGCAACATGAACATAAAATGGGAGTAGCAGAGATGAGAATATTAAGGTGGATGTGTGATTATACGAGGATGGATAACATAAGAAATGAAGATATTCGACGTAAGGTAAGGAGTATTACTGGTGGCTGAAAAGATGAGAGAACATAGATTGAGGTGGTTTGAGCACATAATGAGAAGGCCCCTGGATGCTCCCGTAAGAACGAAAGTTTGTTACCAAGAACTCGACACAAAGAAAAGTAAAGGTAGACCGAAACTTACTTGGGGAAAGGTAGTAAAACAAGACTTAATGGAGTGGGATATAGATTGGCGGACGTTGTGCCTTAAGACGGAATGGAGAAAAGCTATTAGCATGGTGGAGAGTTAGACCCGTTGTTATTCCTATGTTCCAGATGGTCCCTTTTTAGTCTTTTTCCTCTTCATCTCTCCCTCTTCTTATTTTTACCTTCTTTTCCTTTATCTCTTTACCGCTTCTACATCTTCTTCTTCCTCTTCTTCTTTTATTTATTTATTTTTTATTTATTTATTTTATTTTTTATTTTATTTACACCCCTTTTATTTTTACTTTTATATTTATATATATATTATTATTATTTTATTTATTTATTTTTATTTTATTTTTTATTTTTATCCTTTCGTACCTTTTATTTGGGTTCATCTACCACCGACCCTAATTAGTTTGGGATAAAAGTGTTGTTGATGTTAATGTTTACTTTCTGTATAGTGTGTAATGATGGTGTCATTCTAAATGATAATAATATTTTGAACAAAGGAAAGAAAGAAATGAAAGTAGACCTCGCTCAGCGAAAATATTTTGATAGAAAAAACATAGCATATATTAGTGAGCAGCATGCTCCTTTTTTAACCAAAAAAAAAATCCAAATGCAGTCATGACTAAGTTTGGACAAAACTACAGCTAAATAAAGTTTAATATAAGCCTAGCCTCTGTAATTTAAAGAGAAACTAAACCATTATAAACAGAACTAAAAGATAATTAACCAATGAAAAGCACTTGAAACTAAAAAGAATGAAAAAAGATGACCGATGGTGTCAGCTTTGAGCTCCTGGATGCCGTTTCAAAAATTAAGCGTCGCAGGTTTTCTTCTGCTTCAGCAATGAGTATGATGTTATTCTCAGATCTGATTTCTCCCGATATGTTTCCAAGAGCATGCAATGCAGCCTGTGATTGCCATTTAAGAAACCATGTAAGTTACAAGAGATGTTATATTACCATAATTCCAAGTAAAATGGGATTCGAGCTTGTTAGAGAAATATAATATAAATTTATTGATGGGGTCTTCACCTAATAGCTTAATCTTTTGGGTAAAATTGGTTCTTTACATGATATCATAATCTCCATGACCAAGTAGTCATGAATTCGATCCTCACCACCCCATTCTATTAATAATTAATTAAATATTGTGGAGTTTCTTAACATAGGTAGAAGGAGCCGGTGCATTGTCCACCCTTCAAGTTTAATGGGCTCTTCTATGAAGAGGCGTGTTAGAGAAATTAATATAAATCCGTTGATGGGGCCTTACCTAATAACTTAAGCTTTTCGGTAGAATTAGTTCTTTACGGAGCTTTTTTTACAATCTAGAATAATTAAAAATTTATTTAAGTAATTTAATTTGAGGGGGAGCCTTGGAGCAGCAAGATTGCTCTTTTGTGGTTGGAAATTCATAGGTTTCAGTCTAAGAAACAACCTCTTTACAAAAATGTAAGGGCAAGGCTACATACAATCGATCCTTACTTCTACCCTCGCAAAGTCGAAGAGCCTTGTCCACCGGATTTTGCCTTTTGCCTTTTTATTTAAGTAATGCATTTTCTTTTTCAAATATACCATCAAGAGTGGATTTTGCCTTTTGCCTTTTTATTTAAGTAATGCATTTTCTTTTTCAAATATACCATCAAGAGGGTACAAAAATAAAATTAGATTATTGGATTTGTTACATCCTTGGAAATGGTTAACAATGATGTTAAATGTATAATGTCTTCCGGCTTTACTCCGATTCAACAGAATGGTATGCTCTACACAGTTATCAAAACACTGACTAGCTGAATGCTACATCAGTTTAATGTCTGGAAGCCATAACATGTTCCAATCAGTTGGGAATTTCATGGGTCCTTTTAAAATAGATGCTATAAACCTAGGGAACAACAATTAGATTACCAGAACATTAATACCTAAAATCTGCTAGTAGCAAATTGTGTCAGTGTACCACAAATGCAGTTTCAACCTTACCTTAACAAGTGATTGAACCATGATATACAATGGAACCATGGGATCATTAAGTTTTAGCAGTTTAGGCTACCTTTAAAAAACTTCAAAAAGAAAGGAAGAACAAGTATCTAGCTCACTAACCAGCTGTCTACCATGCCCTCCTTGTTGATCAAAAGCTGCATAAATAACACGTCTAGCAGCAGGTGATGAATCTGACAGCAGAAATGAAGCTCCTTGGACAGCTAGGTTCACAAAAACCATAATTAAAAATTTGAGGCTCTCAATAAAACAATTATCAGCAATGAAATGTAAACAAATGGTTAAGTTGTTTGAACATATACTAAAGAATAGAAGTTATTGTGAGTTCCCTCATTGATCATGGAAGTGAACAACCGTAAATGCTAATTGGGATTGGAAGTATTAGGATCATTAAATAGTCTCTGTTGGAAATAACAAACTATAGTTTAATTTAGCATTGGAAACAATAGGAGTTAATGAGCATTGGAAATTTAGGATCATAGAAATAGTTGCATTTCTGTTTGTTAGAAATAATATTAATTTATTATTATTAGAATAGTCTAGAATAGTCCAGATTGTGGGCTTGGCCCATTAGATCATCCCATTAGGTTTTGTAGTCTCTATAAATAGAGAGCCTCCTTCTACAAATTACATACAATTGAATATACAATATATTTCAAATTCAATTTGGTATCAGAGCTCTCGATCTGAGAGCTCTGCTTCCGCATATATATCTTTTCTTTTCTTATTTACTGCCGTGCATCATACCGGCAAACCCTTTTACCGCCGTGCGTCATACCGGCAACCTTTTTCAACCCTCCGAACATTGTTAGACCCTTTTTCGATCTCAGATCGTCATCCTCCTTCATTATTTGACCGGAAAACACTGTTCACATCGCCCGAAACACTGTTCTGTCACTGTTCAACACTGTTCCGGCCACCTTTCCGGCGAGAAACCACGCGATCAGGATCCCCTCACGCCGGCGACCATTTCTGTCCAAGACCCGTCCCAAACGGCCGCCGCACGCGCCTCCACGCGCCACCAAAGCTGTCTGCGCGTGGGCCTCACGCGCCACCTCTCTCCGGCGCGTGTGCACTGTTCCGGCCAAACCAAGGCAGACAGGCTCGCCTCTACCTCCTCCTTCCAGATCCGGTGCCCGTTCGTTGTGGGTCTCTTCTGTTCGAGGGGTTCCAGTGCAAAAGTCGCTACTTTTTCCTTTTTCGCGTGACTTTTACTGTTTTTTTTGTTGTCTGATCGCTGTTCCTGATGGAAGGAACCAGTAAATATCCTTCCGACATCATTTCAAGTGCTATTCCATCTATCACAACTCTGAAATTGACCGGATCTGCCACTTACAAGAACTGGTCTACCTCCGTTAAGATCTGGTTTACCGGTCAAGGCCATGACAAACATCTCACCACTAAGAAGACTGATATTTCCACAGATCAGATGACTGAATGGGAGAAAGTTGATGCTCAGCTCCTCAGTATTCTTTGGCAATCTATTGATTCATCCCTTCTCAATATTTTCATTCCCTTTGAGACCTGCTATGATGTGTGGACGGAAGCCAAAAACCTCTACACCAATGATATTCAGCAACTTTATTTCATTGTCTCCCAGATGATGGATTTGCGTAAATCACCCGAAGCTCGTATGGAAGTTTATGTTGGTAAGATTCGTTCTTTGATGCAGGAATTTTTGGCTATGTTACCTCATGCTGCGGATGCTACAGTGTACAGGACGCAAGTGGAGCGTCTCTTTACGGTTGTGACTCTCTCTGGTCTCCCTGACGGATTAGAAAGTGTTCGTGAGAACATTCTAACCAGTAATGAGATTCCTAGCATATCCCAGACCTTTCAGCGCCTTCTGAATCTTCAAGATAAGGTGGCCCCCGCACACATGCCAGCTACTGACTCTACTGCTCTTTTGTCTGATTCTGCTGCTTTAGTCTCTCGTGGTAATTGGAACAATGGTGGACGCGGTCGTGGTCGTGGCCGCGGACAAGGCGGTCGCGGGCCCATGACATCATATGGCCCAGGCGGGCACGGACAGATGATGTCGTATGGACAGGGTGGCCGAGGACAAAGGCCTCGGTGTAATTATTGCCAAAATCTAGGCCACATTGAAGAACGTTGCTACAGAAAGTACCCTCACTTGAAGCCACCACATATGAACTTTGCTCAAACAGATGTCGTGCCGCCCTCTACCGGATCAGTGACTATTTCCGCTGCAGACTATGAGGCCCTTTTCCAGAAGAGTTCTTCTCAGCCACCTACTCCCGCTACTGGTAATCATGTTGCTTGTTTTTCTCAATCATCTCTTGGACCCTAGATAATAGACTCAGGTGCTACTGATCATCTTTGTGGTAATAAGGATCTTTTTACTTCCCTTACCTTTTCTAATAATCTTCCCTCTGTTACTCTTGCTGATGGCACCAAGGCTCCTGCTCGTGGTATTGGGCAAGCCAAACCAACTCCCTTCTTGACTTTAACCTCTGTTTATTACATCCCTGGCATTCCCTTTAATTTAATTTCTGTTAGTCAATTGACCCATTCTCTTTCTTGCTCTATCACCTTTTCTAAACAGTCTTTTTCTATGCAGGATCCAGGTACGGGGAAGACGATTGGAGCGGGCGATGAGTCACGAGGTCTCTACTATCTGCATGCACCCTCTGCTCCAGTTGCATGCTCTCTCACAGAGTCTCCTGAGCTTCTCCATAGCCGTCTGGGTCATCCAAGTCTCTCGAAGCTTCAGCATATGGTTCCTTTTTTGTCGGGTCTAAAGTCTTTGAATTGTCAGTCTTGTCAGCAGGGAAAGCATACTCGCTCTTCCTTTGCTAGTAGAGTCAATAAGAGAGCTGCTGCTCCCTTTTCTATTGTTCATTCTGATATTTGGGGGCCGAGTCGGACTATGTCAGTTTTGGGTTTTCAGTATTTTGTAACCTTTATTGATGATTTCTCCCGTTGCACTTGGGTTTATTTAATGAAAAATCGTTCTGAGTTATTTTCAATTTATCAAAAGTTTTGTGCAGAAATAAAAACTCAATTTGGTGCTTCTATTCAAATCTTGCGCAGTGATAATGCAAAAAAGTATGTGTCTCTTGAATTTTCTAAATTTCTGGATACACATGGGACGATACACCAGACTACCTGTCCCCACACTCCACAACAAAATGGAGTTGCTGAACGTAAAAATAGACATCTAGTTGAAACTGCACGTACCCTTCTTATTCATATGAACGTCCCACTCCGTTTTTGGGCAGATGCTATTATCACCTCATGTTTCCTTATCAACCGCATGCCCTCTTCTGTGCTAAATAATGATGTTCCCCACCGCATTTTGTTTTCCGGAACACCTTATCCTCTGCCTTTACATATTTTTGGCTGTACTTGTTTTGTTCATGATCTTACTCCAGGTAAAGACAAGTTGACATCCAAGGCCTTCAAATGTATTTTCCTTGGGTATACACGTTTTCAAAAAGGGTATCGTTGCTATTCTCCTGATCTCAAGCGTTATATCGTTTCTGCTGATGTCACTTTCCTTGATCAGCAGCCTTTTCACTCTACTTCGTCTCCAGTGTCACAGGTTGATCAGGTCCTTCCTGTTCCTTTTCTTGACTTGTCTTTACCAGCTGCAGGTGACCCTATTCCAGAGGAGCAACCCATTAACTCCATACCTGCAGATCGTCCTCTCCTCACATACCAGCGTCGTCAGCCTGCGCCTCCTCCGACTTTGCCTCTTGATGACTCATCGTCCTTTCCCGTCGGCTCTTCTCCTCCGGATCCTCCATCAGAGACTCCTCCCATTGCCCTTCGGAAAGGTATTCGATCCACTCGAAATCCTCGTCCCCTTTATTCTTTCTTGAGTTATGACAGACTTTCTTCACAACATTTTACTTTTGTTTCTAGTCTCTCTTCTGTTTCCATCCCTAAAACCACAGGTGAAGCACTATCTCATCCAGGGTGGCGCCAGGCGATGCTTGATGAAATGCAGGCACTTCACTCCAATGGCACTTGGGATCTTGTTCGTGCTCCTCCCGGGAAGTCTGTTGTTGGTTGTCGATGGATGTTCACAGTTAAAGTTGGTCCTGATGGCACTGTTGATCGCCTTAAAGCTCGATTAGTGGCAAAGGGATACACACAGATCTTTGGTCTTGATTATGGGGATACCTTTTCTCCTGTTGCTAAGATGGCTTCTGTTCGCCTGTTTCTTGCCCTTGCCGCCATTCATCACTGGCCCCTTCTCCAACTTGATATTAAGAATGCTTTTCTACATGGTGACTTGCAGGAGGAAGTTTATATGGAGCAACCACCAGGTTTTGTTGCTCAGGGGGAGAGTTCTGGAATGATATGTAAACTTCGGAAATCTTTATATGGCCTAAAGCAATCTCTTCAGGCCTGGTTTAGCCGCTTTAGTTCAGTTGTTGAATCCTTTGGCTTAATCAGAAGCAAAGCCGATCATTCTGTCTTTTACCGGCATAGCTCTTCTGGCCAGTGCGTTTATCTTCTGGTCTATGTTGATGACATTATCATTACAGGCAGTGATCAGACCGAGATTGATCAGTTGAAAGAGCATTTATTCAATCAATTTCAGACCAAAGATCTTGGCAGACTTCGATATTTCTTGGGGATCGAAGTTGCACAGTCTAGGCGGGGCATTTCCATCTGTCAGAGGAAGTATGCACTGGATATCCTAGATGAGACGGGCATGTTAGGCTGTAAACCCATTGATACACCTATGGACCCCAATGTTAAGTTATTACCAGGACAGGGGGAGCCACTGCCAGATCCTAGTCGCTACCGCCGACTAGTTGGAAAATTGAATTATCTTACTGTGACAAGGCCAGATATCTCCTTCGCAGTGAGTGTTGCAAGTCAATTTCTTGATTCTCCCTGTGACTCCCATTGGGATGCAGTTATTAGAATTCTCCGATATATTAAAAAGGCGCCAGGAAGAGGTTTATTATATACAAATAAAGGGAGTTCAGAGATCTCTAGTTATTCAGATTCTGACTGGGCAGGTTCTCCTTCAGATAGACGATCCACCTCAGGGTATTGTGTCCTCTTAGGAGGAAATTTGATCTCTTGGAAGAGTAAGAAGCAAACTGTGGTCGCCAGATCCAGTGCGGAGGCAGAATATCGGGCAATGACAAATGCAACCTGTGAGCTCATCTGGCTGAGACAATTGCTTAAGGAACTCCATCTCTGTGAACAAAGGCCTATGAAGCTCATTTGTGACAACCAAGCCGCTTTGCATATATCCTCTAACCCAGTCTTTCATGAGAGGACCAAGCATATAGAAATTGACTGTCATTTTGTTAGAGAAAAGATCCAGTCAAGGGAGATCGAGACAGCATTTGTCAATTCCAATGATCAACTTGCGGATGTATTCACTAAAGCTCTTAGAGGTCCCCGAATAGATCATATTTGTAACAAGCTGGGAGCTTTTGATATATACGCACCAGCTTGAGGGGGAGTGTTAGAAATAATATTAATTTATTATTATTAGAATAGTCTAGAATAGTCCAGATTGTGGGCTTGGCCCATTAGGTCATCCCATTAGGTTTTGTAGTCTCTATAAACAGAGAGCCTCCTTGTACAAATTACATACACTTGAATATACAATATATTTCAAATTCAATTCTGTTTATTGCTCTGGTAAATATAAGATGTATTTATTCTATAAATACAGCCTGCTGAGTGAAAATCACTCAAGCAATTCACTCAAACCGACTAAAGTTTTCCCAGATCTTTCTCAAGTAGATCCAAAAGTTACTTCCAATGCCAATTGGCAGTAAACAATGGCAGATCTGCTTCAAGTTGGCCGAAGGGCCATCGTTCCTGGCCCGAAGGTTGAATTGATTAATGAATGAAGAATCACTTCTAAGTCATGTGAGTGGTTGGTAAACACACAAAGCAAAATCTATTTAGTGATCTGCATATCAAGTTAATTTTGCAATAGGTCTCTCGATATTCCACAGTTTTACTATATAAGCATTATATCTCAGTTATCAGTATTGCTGAAAGAAAACCAAAAAAATTAAACCTGGCATTTAAATGCTTCAATATAAATATCTGAGTAAATACACTTTTTGGTCCTCAGCAAATTTTACGATGCCCGTTTTAGTCCCTAGCAAATAAAAAGGCCCATCGTGGTCCCTAAGAAATACAAAATGAACCCATTTTAGTCCTTTTGAGGACTAATATGGGCATTTTTTGAAATTGTGAGGGACCACGATTTCAACTAAATTGGTCCATTTTGAATTTCTTAGGGACCACAATGGGCCTTTTTATTTGCTAGGGACTAAATCGGGAATCGTAAAATTTGCTGAGGACCAAAAAGGATATTTACTCTAAATATGTATACATTAATATATATATATATATGTGTGTGTGTGTGTGTGTATGATGTGTATGTATCAAATTGATGAATAAATCACCCATTCTAAATATATAAATGCACAATGGAGATCGCCTCTTAACTGTGAGTATATGTAGAGTAAATGCAAGTGCAACACTTTATTTTATTTTTATTTTATTGAGGGTGTTACAGCAAGCATTTTCCAGGAGCCAACCCCACCCAGTGGGATAAGGGCCAGAAGGCTTAGTTGTTGTTGCAAGCTTTTTCCAATAATGTGTTTGTCCTGACACTTTGGAGCCTTTTCTCAGTATTCATTTTTGAGGTTTCAGGCAGAGGACAGATTAGAAGGGTTTGGGGCATGATGTCTTTTATTTGAACGTAATGCCAAAAGTTTGCCAAGTTAGAATTTTATCCATGCAACTTGTGGAATAGGAATGTGCTCTTAGCTTCTTATGGACTTTTATTGAAGGTAATATTTGGGGGGGATTTCTTTCTCTAATGCACAAACGGATTGAAAGGCTCTTTTGAGTAAAATGTATTTTTTATCTATTTCTGCTTTTGTTTTGGCTCCGGATGATTCCATATTATCCCCTGTTGTTTTATTCTCTCCTCTATCAATATACTTCTCTTTTATTAATAGAAAAAAAAAAAAATCAATTATGTAGACTTTCCTCATTATAATTCCAATGTAGTATAAACCTGGGGGTATGTTATGTCAAATTTTATGAAATATGTAATTTGTTAAACAAGAATAGGAGTCATGTTGGTTTAAAAATTTAAACGAGAGATCTATACAATTTTGTCAAATCTTATTTGTATCTTTTTTTTAGTACAACAGAATTCTAGAAAAGATGGAAGGTAATCAACTTCCAAGCTAGACCACAGGACCAACATAATTAATAAACCAAAATCAGACAATGATAATATGACATACTTACATGATCCTATATGACCCAATGATTCAAGTGCAGTTTCACATTCATCTCTATCTGAAGGCTCCAACGATTGAAGTCTACCATCAATAGATGAAATAACAGTTTTAACACCTGAAATAGCACAAAATATATATTAGTGAACAGTTTCTAGCTCTTTCATTATAATTATTAACTTGTGTAACATAATGTGGGAAGCACGTGAACATTCTACAAATGAACAGAAACAAACCCTGCTAGGAGACACATTTTATTTGCAACAAAGGCTTAATCAGGTTGTACAATAGCAGCATTTTCTAGTTCTTTGATGATAATAATTATTAAATTGCACAACGTAACATGTGAAGCACATGGACAGCTGACAGATGAAATCAGCACAAACCAGCAAGGGACCCATTATATTTGCAACAAGGGCTTATAAAGGTTTTCAACATATCAGCAGTGATCATTGGTACTGATACCCATCTACAATCAAGTAAAATAGATGATAGTGTTCTTGAATTGTTAGTTTGAAGATGATGAAATCAAATTTCAATATCGTCCGATGAATGTAGGTGGAAAATGAACTCCAGGCATAAAAGCACAAAGACTTACAAGGTTCATCTATGAAGGAGTATATGATTTCCTTGGACAGTAGCCTTCCACTTATCATCATTGCTCTTGATCTTAAAATTGATTCCATAGAATTGTTGCTATCCTCACGGAAAGATATGTCATTATATCAGAAAAACACTTTTCATAGCATTCACTGGATGAACAAATATTCTTGGGCAGGTAATAAATGAGAACCTAATTATAGATGAAAGCAGTTGAAGGAAGCTCGTCTTTGACAAAAATTCTGTACCATGCTCGATCTCTGCTAACTGCATCCATTTCACAAGTAGCGAGAATAAATAGATATGCATGTATTGTAAACTGGGGAAGTGCAAACTAACTTATAATTGCTAATGTAGAGTTCCTGAATTTGGTCTGTGTTATGTGTGTTGGGATTATTTTTGTCATTTTTTTTATGAGGAATCACTTTTGCAAAGATTCATTGCAAAAATCAGTTTATGTGGGGGACTGTTGTCTAAAAAGATCCGTGACTGAAAATGTTTGAGAACAAACACAAAAGTAATTTTGGGGATCTTTAGATTATGCCCCAATTTCTAAAAATTTAACTAAAGACATTCTTTTTTCTCCCAAAATAAATACTCAAACACAAACTTCAAGTTAAGGACTGTTAGAATGATTGGGCTTAACTCAACCACAAAAGCTAGCTCAAGGGGGGAGGATTTCTCAATCATTCATTATAAAGGGTACTTTCCCCATATATGTAGTGGATGGAGAATCTCTTAACACCCCCTAAGGACAAACAAATAAAAAACAATTCAAGCAATTGGGAACCTGAGACAACACTCGTCCAGGAAAAATCCCTTTTAATAGGTAATGATCACTAGTGCGATGTCTAGTGACATGATTACTACGTTTAATTCCTTTAGTTCCATGTAAAACAATCTTTTCCTATTACTGCTACTTAAAAAAATAAAAGAATTAAAAAAAAAAAATTAAGGCAGAGTGTTTGGTCCATGAATAAAGTTTATATTATAAAGTAAATATAGTGACTACGTGCAAGGGCAAATCCCGATGCACAACGCTCCCCTACTTGCGAGGCTAGGGGTTAGGGTTGATTGTACATAGCCTTATCCTTACATTTTTGCAAAGGGGCTGTTTCCCAGACTCTAAAATGTGTGCCTTCCGATCACAAGGAGAAACCTTACCACTGCTCCAAGACTTGCCCTCAAATATAGTGACTATGTGCAAGTAGAAAAATTAATATCCATCTTTAAATTCAAGAATTGAAGAGGGAGAGGGAGAGAGAGAGAATAGCAACCTCATATAGAAGCTCCAAAACACTTAAAGTTACAAGGGTATCATCTGCATTTCTGATTTCTTCTTCGAACAATTTAAGTAGATTTAAACTATAAATGGTTGATGCTGTTGACCTAGATACAGAAAAAAGCTTCACCACTAAAGCCAATACACGAACTCGGCCCTATATCAGAATGGTAAAAAGTTAAACGGAGGCAAATTAAGTCAATTTCAAACAAGACGGGAAACCTACCCCAAAAATTTGATATTCATGAATAACTACTTTACATATTAAGAGTATGATTGTCTCATAATAAAGCTTTCCTGTCCGCAATTAGAAACAACAGACTACCTACACATTTATAACATGTTATTACTCTTAACATTCTAAACATTGTCTATTACTACACTTTCAGACCAAGGACTAGGGAAAGTTTAAACACTTCCTTGGTTTGAAGTTGCCTAGTCAAGAGAAGGCATTTTCTTTTCACAAAGGAAGTATGCTTTAGATATACTTGAAGAAACTAGTATGTTGGATTGTAGGCCTGTCGATAGTCCAATGGACCCTAATAATAAAATATTTACAGATCATGCGGAGCTATATTAAAATCCTGAAAGATATCGAAGATCAGTTGGGAAACTAAATTATCTCTCTATTTGGAAACCAAACATCCCTTACGCTGTTGGAGTAGTAAGTCATGCAATCTCCACATACTAGTCATTGGGATGATATTGTTTGAATTTTCAGGTAGAGTAATGTGCCTAGTAAAGGTTTATTGTATATTTGGATAAAACAATTACTTCAAGAATTAATATTTGGAAACACTCACAAAATGAAGCTGTACTATGATAACCAAGCAGCTTTGCACATAGCCTCCAATCCAATTTTCAATGAAAGGATGAAGCATTTAGAAATATATTGTAGTTTTGTCTGAGAAAAAGTTATTTCCAAAGATATTCTCACTGAATCTGTAAGCTCTAATGATCAACTAACAGATATCTTGACAAGATCTTTTAGGGTCCTTGGATTCACTATATTTGTATCAAGCTTGCAGTATGATTTATATGCTCGAAATGATAACAGCAGTTATTATGGCTTCGGAAACAACAGGAATTTATGAAGCATTGGAAACATTTGGATCTTAGGAACTAGTCCAATTTTTTAATTCTTGTAAATATAAGTTTCATTATATGAATATCAGTATGTTGAGTGCAAAACAGTCAAGCAATTCACAGAAATGTCTCTAGAAATTATTCTCAACTCCAATAAAAAAATAAGACATGATTGATTTATAAGGATGCAAAAGAAGTGGTCTGCTTATTTGCTAGAGCCTTCCCATGCATTCAAGGTAAAGTCCTCAACGTAGTTTATATGTTATATCTACTGACATATAAATCCATGCATTGACAGATTGGTTTCCATACCAGGGATGAACACTGTGATGCTATAATCCCAAGGTCTGTATCACCTCCTTTGGCAGATGGAAAGATAATTTCCTACAATAGCATTGCATGTCAAGCAGCAATCTCTAAGGATATGATTTAGACCTAATCCCCTACCTTTCATACGAGTAAAAGTATTTAAACATAGGTGACTTTTAAATAGAATTTTCTTACCATGCCTTCCGGAAAACCAGCTAACTTTTTTATTGCATCCATTGCCACAGCTGCCACTTGTTCATTGCTGCATTTGTGAGAAGATATGGAAATTAAATGGATTAATTATATGGGTGAACTATCCAAAACATTCTATTTATCTTATGAGAGAGCAACCAAATCTAACAAATTATATATATATATATATATATATATATATATATATATATATATATATATATGGACAAATAAGAATGGAATCCTCTGAAAAAATTCCTTGACAACTCTATAAAAAAAGACCCTCTTCCGGAATATCCTGATTTATTGCTTAATGTTAAACTAGTCTCAACTCGGCATTGAGAAATATTTATTTTAATCAGCAGGCCCTGGCCTTATAACAAAAGTAGCAACTTGTTTAGGAATTGCAGAGTTTACTTTATCATGCCCAGAAGTAGAGGAACCCATGCTCCTAATGCTACGAAGCACCAGCAATAAATACAAATGCTGGATTCAGTTGACATCCATATTAAAACATGGAGGTGTTTATTACATCATCATTCTCATCCAGGAATCTACAACTGCTGGTTATCATTGACACCCGAAAAAGATGCCTACGCTGATGATAGGTATAAAATTACATAACAGCGGCATCCAAGTTCCCTGAAGACCTATCAGAAATCTCATACCTCCTAAAATGTGTGGGAACCTGGCATTCCCAAGTAAAAAATTTTACTCACTTCTATAAATCACCAATAGTGTCCGATCTTTGAAAAGTTCCAATTTTTGTACAAAACAAGATCTTAGATACACATGCATCTTATACTGTGCCATCTTCTCCCCATGTATCCAAGACACATAAAAAGGGTGATTGACCATTGTGTCCATGTATTTAAAAAAATTTACCACTTTACCCCCTTTTTAAACTATATATTAATTTTAACTTTTTATCAAAACTATACACCAATTTGCACCTATTTGATTACGTTTGACCAACAGTTACTCGAGTAAATGACTTACTCGAGTAAATAACGCCAGTTACTCGAGTAAGTCATGTATAAATGGACATTTTTTATTCAAACCACGTTTTAATATCTTGAACATGTATAATGGACTTGGAATGAGTGTTTGTAGGTCATTTACAATTGAGGGCAGTCCCCATTCAATACAAGGTGTTAAAACATAATTTTATGTTGATTTTCAATATGACTTGTTAAATTTGGTTCATTTTTTATTAATCCATGCATATTATATCATGCACACACATATTTGTACTTCATATATAGGTTCGTGGGTCCACAACAATTGAGGACAATCTCCATCCAATATCAAGCTCTTTATATCCTAAAATGGTGTAAACTTTGAAAGGGCATAACTTTTGACTCGGTTGTCCGAATGGGGTGTTCTTTTTTATTTCACGTAACTTTTCGAGATTTATGCATTGGTCAAAAAAAAAAAAAAAAAAAAAAACGCTTCCTTGTTAGGTTTCGGGAATGACAAAGGGTTTTATGTATGTTGAGATATATAGTCCCACATTGGTTGTATGTGCAACTAATGTGGAGTTTATAAGACCTTGGGCACTCCCACCCTTTGAGCTAGCTTTTGGGGTGGTGTATCCCAAGGTTCTTTACATGGTATCAGAGCCTCGCCGCCCCCCACTTTCTCTTGTGGCGTTTCGTAGCGCAGGTAGGCTTGGCCTGTTGCATTGTCCACTCTTCAAGCCCAATGGGCTATTGTGTGAAGGGGCGTGTTGAGATATATAGTCCCACATTGGTTGTATGTGCAACTAATGTGGAGTTTATAAGACCTTGGGCACTCCCACCCTTTGAGCTAGCTTTTGGGGTGGTGTATCCCAAGGTTCTTTACAATGTACATAAATTTTATGTACACATTTATGTTCATGTGGCATTGCTTTTGAAGATTTATGCCCGTTGGGCCATGATGGAACCCAACAATTTACAGCAAGAATAACAACAATTAACAGTAAAATAACACTTCTATTAACAACAATGTAGGAAATACAACGATGAAAATACATAAAGATAAACCAAAAGACCTCAACTCTCCCTCAAAGCCAACATACCTAGGCTTTAAAAGTTACCTAGAGATCCTTCCCCAAAACCCAATTCACCAAATACTCAATACCCCCATATCACACACACACACACACTCCTTTTATTCTAACTAAGAACATTCTAGAAGCTTTCCTAATTAACTAACCAAAACACACACCCCAAAACATTTTATTTCTATATATGATGTTATTTAATTCATATTCCTATTTCGCACAAAGAATTTAGGGTTTACCTTCGCAAATTTCGCCTCTTTAATCTAATAAGTCTGAGAGAAATATGAGAGATTGGGGATAAGATTGAGTGATACAATCGATTTTGAGCTTTTGAACTGTTTAGAAACAAATTTTCGGCCCTGGGTTGAAGAGGGAGAGGGGTTCAACTGAGAGAAATGAGAGAAATACTCGAGTAAAATGTATTTTTACCTCTGCTCGACACTTACTCGAGTAAGTGCCAAAAACAGGGCAGATTGGTATATAGTTTGGGAAGAGGGGCAAAGTGGTATTTTTTTTTTAAAACAAGGGCAAAAGGGTCAATCAGCCCATATGTAAATGAAAGATGCATGAAGATTGAGCACCTCCTAGGAATGAATTCTGAACTAATTCATTTTATGCTAAATGACACAAAATGACTCAAGTTAACCTAATCCCTTAACTATTTGTAGGTGATACAATAACTGGCATATATAGGATCCTATGTTATTGAAATAAAACAATTGGGCACAACAAGAATGGTACGAGAACCATAACACCATCCCTACTTACCCATTGATAAGGCAATCAAGCAAAAGAGGATATATGTTGAAATCTGAAATTAGACGAGCAGCAACTTTGTTATCATTGTCAAGATTCTCCAGAAGACAAGTGACCTGCAAGTTGTTACCAAGTCATAGAAAACTAATAATAATGCTATAAGGTTGTCCAATCACATCAGTAGCAATTTGTATATGTAAAAATCTAGCCCGATTTTATTTCCAGATGTATAATCAATTATATACAAATCCAAGATACACATATTAGCACTACAAATATAATTTTGAGCGTTGACTGACAGGAGTGTGCAAAGATCTTTGTAAAGAGAAAGCAAAATAGGTTCCATTATAATTATTAAACTAATGTTGTCTCCCTATTTGGTCGGGTGAGAGGCAATGGATCTCCAATGTACATATACATAGTACCTAAGGATTAAAATAAAGTTGGCAAGTACAAAGTGTATCCACGTACTGTTTTGCAAGCTAAGGATCTGACTGCTTGAGAATCTGCCTGCAGACCAACTTGAACAAAAGGCTGAACAAAAAACATAATAGCAAAGCAATAAGCATAACTATTAAATTAAAAATATAAGGTAATAGGATATGCATGCAGACTGAAGATCGACGATAAAACACAGAAAAATAACATTTTAATGCCCTCTCAAATTAATGGTTTTTGAAAAACTTCCGGATACATTTTCTTTGGAGTACTTTGCTTGCAAGTTCATCAATCATCATAGGTCTTAATCGTTGGGAGCACATTTCTGATTACAATCTATTGAATTTTAAGCTTTTTCCAGTTCATGGTTTAACAACATGACACTTACCAGTTTTCCATATATGCTTTTTCATCTACTAATTCAAACTTACTGTATATTAGTCCAAGATTTATCTAATATACTTTTTAATATCCAAATGCTGTTTTTCCCATATCACGGAAGTGTTATATAAAAATTGAAAACTAAGATATACATATGATAATAAAATTGAACTAATATCAAGATTTAAAACACAATATATGAAAAGACTTGGATCAGCCAAACTCCATGGGCAATTAAACAGAGACATACCAAAATAAACATTCACTTCCACCATAGATGTCATAATAATCAGTTTACTCATCATTGATAGAGAGAGAGAGAAACTCTAGTTCAAGCAGGTCTTTTGGTGCATAAGAAACAGAAACAAAATACTTAAGTCAATTGTCACTAGCGAATTTTTGTGATTAAAAAAAAAAAAAAACTTAAGTGAACTAGAACTATTGGTAGTTAGGTTTTCTGGGAAAATGAAGAATAGTACTACTTTTGGCAATTATTTAAGCTTTTACATTCAGAACAGCGAGCAAGCCATGTTCACATAACAATTTAACCATAAACAATACAATGGATCAGCAAAGGGGGTAAATCACAAACCATATACTGTGGGATCAAAGAAGCACCCAACTTTGTTTTGAATAGCTTTTCAAGGCAGGCAACTAGAGCATTTTCTAGCCCAGGCACATCAGACTGAGTCTGTAATGCACTGCAAAATTAAAGGAGAAAATCAAGCTCAAAGTTTCTCTAGAAGGATGCATTAAAAAAAATTTAACATTGAACAAAACCCCAATTTTACTTCATGACAAAGATTAAAACCACTCCCCGTTAAACCCGACTAGCAAGTGTGGGGTGGAGGAAATCCGTGTACGCAGCCTTACCCTTGCATAATTGCAAAGAGGCTGTTTCCTGGATTCAAACCCATGACCTTTCAGTCATGAAGGAACAGTTTTACCACCGCTCTGGTTCGCCCCCTTTTACTTCATGACAAAGATTAAAAAAAAATAATCCGCAACACTAAATCATACAGTGCAGACATCATTAGGCAAGAAAAACATTTTTCCACTGATAAAGACAGGAAAGTATATATATATACACACACACACACACACACAGACACACACACACAAAGGACTGGATAGCTTAAAGCATAGTATAGCCAAGAGAACAATGGGTTCAATAGCTTTAAGCAGTGTTGCACATTTTGCTCAGACTGCAATGAAGACATGAAGAAGATGTTGAATGCACACAGGTCTGCACCATGTCATACCTGAAGCTCCAGCAAAACTCAACACAAAGATTTAAAAATAATAATAATAAGTAAAAAATTTGCCAATTTTTTCTGAGATCAACAATTAGTTTGCAGAATAACTCTACATAAACTCTCACAAATGCCCCCTTTTTAAGCCAGGCAAATTGCTCACTCACCATTATAAATTTCTGAAACAAGATTAAGTTTTTCCCGAAACCCAATACGGGAAATACAAGAAAGTACACGAAATCCAAGCTCAACGACAAGAACAACAAGCATTTTACAGTGACAGAGTAAGGAAGCTCCCCATTAAGCGAAAACACGGAAAACGGACAAAAGGGTAAAACAAAAATGTGAAAAAGAAGCTAACTTGATGATGAGTGGTAGAGGGAAGCGATTGAGAAATTCCCTGGCGGAATCATCACTTTGCACTCCTGAAAACGAAGCAATGTTGCTTATAAAGTGAAAAAAGCAATAACCATAGAGAAGAGAATTGAAGAATAGGGAAGTTACCAGGGTAATAAGCAAAAACAGTAGCTGCATCGAGGAGCAGAGATGAATCATCCATGGAGAGTAACTCACACTGAACTCTGAAGCAGAAACCGAAAAGAAAGGGGGAAGAAAATAGGAAAAAGAAACCTACGCGCGTGGCAATAGGTGTTCTACGTGTAATGCAGGCATTAAACGGTCCAATTCTTAATTTCTACGAAAGAATATTAGAACTTGGGTCATCACTATGTTCTTGGAAATTTTTGTGTTTGATTTAGTGCTAAAGTGTTATTAAAACTTGTGTTTTTTGTTGGATTGAGAAAAATTTAAGGATCACGCTTTATAGGCTATAAAACGTTACCATTTTATAATGAAAAATAACAAATATATACAATAATTTAATCTACTAATGCTATAATTTTCTAGGCTTATAATGAATAAATCATTTTGTATAAAACAAAATTTATAACCTATTTTCATTTTCAACTTCTTACAACAATATCTTAATCGTTGATTTTCGTCAATCAACGGTTAAGATATTTGCAAATCAAATTTATTAATTAATTATTAATTCACAATAAATGACAACCGTTGATTGATGGAAATCAACGATTAAGATATGATTGTAAGAGTTTGTAAACTATTTAGGTTGTAAATATAACCTCTTCCAACCAAACAATACTTGTAAAATAAAAATGAAAAATTGTAAAACGATTACATGAAATCAAAATATTAAGAGTAAATACATATTTAGTCCTCAGCAAATTTCACGATACACGCTTTAGTCCCTAGCAAATAAAAAGGTGTGGTCATAAGAAATTCAAAATGGATTCATTTAGTTGAAATTATGGTCTCTCATAAATTTAAAAAAGACCCACATTAGTCCCTCAAAAAAACTAAAATTGGTCCACTCTAAATTTCTTAGGATCATGAATAGTCTTTTTATTTGCTAGGGACTAAGACAAACATCATAAAATTTGGTCAGGAGCAAAAAAAAGTATTTACTCAAACATTAATAAGCCTTATTTGTTAAAGAGATGATGGTGAATGCTATTGAAATTTCTATACTGATTCAATGACCTACAACACTTGTGAAAAATTAGGGTTTTTCGAATATAATTATCAATGGACAAATCTACACTAGGAACCTAATCATCCCGTCATGGAATTATGAGTCATAACGTACTGCTTCTCACCCATTATTGTTATTATGTGGATATATCATATAGCCCATATTGGCCCAACCTTTTATGCATACTACGAGACAAAGTCTCCTTTTACACCACTTTTCTCCCAATATGCTTCCACGCGCAATGCATGGCTCATCCTATTAGGATTGATATGGGTGAGGGACGTTTGGTAGAGGATATATTTTTTTTAATCAGGTAAATATAATAATTAGGAATATGATAAAAAAGTGAGTTTGATAGGAAAGTTAAAAAAAAGTTGTTTAGTTGGGTAACATTTTACCAGAAAAATTAAGTTAAATTTTGTGAGTCTTTATTTGATTAAAGATAAAATAATGATGGAAAAATAGGTAAAAATGACGAAACTAACCCTTATATTTGTCCCATCTACGTGGCTTTTTGTAGCATTGATTTGGAGAAGGGAACAAAGATCGTTATAATAAACTTGTCGGTGTGTTTGCAGTGCAAATGAATACGTTTATGTAAGAAGAGAAGCATACGAAAATAAATGGGTCTTTATGCAGATTTTTAGTTGAGAAATTGCTTTTATATTCTTACATCTTTTATTTTTTAATTGTTATGAGTCTCTAATATCTAACATGAAAGAGATATGGGTACTTCCCCAGTCTAAACCGTAAGATGTTGAGGGGCATTTCGGGCTATAATATTGAGCCAATTTTTTCAGTTCCTCAGTCTTCTCCATATACCACCTCCAAAGTGGTCTTGTAAATAGTGTTTTTGCTCTCAATTTACATACAAAGATGATTTGCTGGGTACTAAGGATCCCTGGTTTTATATAAACCCTCTACTAAACATGACATTAATGATATCTCACCCTCACTTACCCAGCCATCCCACCAGAAGTCATCTACCAAACACCCCCTAAAGTTGTCAAAATAGATCAGCCATCTCATTAGCCTCTAGTACATTAGGATAAAAAAGCCTATAGGGCCAAAAGTCCAAATAATAAAGATTTGTTGGAGCCAAAAATCCAATTGGTTAAAGATCAATCCACGAGCCACCTATAAAAAAATTATTTTTAATTAAATTTAATGCATTCAAAATATTTTAATAAATAAACATTTAATACTTTTGCAAAATATTATATACAAAATATTAGTTTTTCATAATTTATTCTTCTAATGAACATATTTGCAAACAAATATGCAAGTGAAATATATGGAAAATTTCAACTATTTTCCCAATCATCTTTGAACAGTTGGTTCTATATAAAAACGTTAAAGTCCTCACTTCTCATGATATTATACAATAATGATATTTATTATTAATAATACTTAAGATGAATATTTTATTATTCAGTAAAAATTTTAACACAGGTGAAAAATTTTACTGTTTGATTTTTGTAACATCCCGTGTGCACTCGGTGTATTAACATACATATGATAATAAGCGCAGCATGCTTAACTTAATTAATGTGAAAGTTAAATGAATAAATTTTCTCTTTTTCCATATATATTGCAAACTTTTTCACTTCTGTAAGAACCTGCACTGTAAAATTAGGAAATTTAAATAATTAATTATGAGTTTAAGAAAATAATTCCATAATTGACTTTGAATAATTATATTAAGGGCTTAATAATGTTTAAAGTCGTTTTTCTGACGAAAGGTGCGAATACCGATTCTGCTTCACGATATAAATGCGTACCGATGAAGTATACAACAAATTATAATAAGTGTATGAATATTCCTAGAATAATATTTAGGACTGATATGTCAAGTTTGGAGTCAAAATAATGAGAAATGACGTCAGTACTGATATCAGCTACGTAAAAACGCGTACCGACAAAGTACTGCGAAAATTATAATAAAAATATGACAAATCCTAGAAAAATGCCTAGGTTTAGAATCTGAAGTTTGAGATTAAAATGATTAGCGGAGCTATTAGCGCTAATATCGACGGATTAGTTTAATGGACTTATAAATATTAAATGGGCCCAAAACCCTAGGCCATAATTCAGCTGCTACGTGAGGCTCCTTGGGTGCTGACTGCCTTCGGCCATTTCCTCTCTTCTTGGACTTGAGCTCCATGCACCAAAATGAGCCAAGAACACACCCCTTACATTGATTCTTCCTCTTTGATCATATAAACACTGAGTTGGGTAACATTGTGAGGGAGTTTGGTGTATCATTTCTGAGTGTTAGGCTGCTGTGGTAGGGGTTTGAGGCTGTTCACTTGGGTTTGGGGTTGTGAGAGCCATTTTTATGTCATTGGAGGCTTCAAAAAGCCACCTTTTGGTATAAAAGACCAAGCTTGTGTGTCAAATTCGTGGCCTTGGAAAGTTAGTGTGGTGGAGCTGTGTTGGAGGCTTCAAGTCTGTCCCTTTTCTAAGTTTGTGAGCCTTGAGGTAACCTATGATCATCCTCTTTGAATATTCATGATTTTAGCTTTATTAAGCCACTAAAAGAGGAAACTTTGATTATATGAGTTAAAGGTTGATGAACTATGTTTAAAATACATAAATGAACATCTGTTTGGGGAGTTATTGGACTCCAAGTCGTGAAAGAATCATTAAAATGGGAATTATGCAGAGAATGCACGAATTTCTGGATTCTGTATGATAAGTATTCGAATACTTTTTCGAATACTCATCAGCAAGTAGTCGAATACTCTTGAAGAAATATTGGGATACTTTTCTCGGAAGAAAAGTATTTGGATACCTTAGTGGAAGTATTTGAATACTGAGTAGTATTCGAATATTGTAGTAAAAGTATTCGGATACCTTGTGGTATTCAAATACCTTAGTGAAAGTATTCAGATACTTTCTGGAGACATGGAGTATTTGAATACTCGTCGAGGAGTATTCGAATACCTCCTGCAGATTAAGCCTAAAATCACTTAAAACAAGTTGGAAAGTCTTAAACACTTAGTGAAACCTTGGGCTATGAATATTAAAGATTATTCTTGATATAAACAGACTGTGATTGTGCTGTTTGGTGATGTTGGGTGCTCAGAGGCTGTTGGATGAAAATATAGTATGGTGAAAATGTTCCTCAGCTTACTAAGAAAGAACACAAGTGTTTTCTTAGTTCAACCCAAGTGCGCAAGTGCACGCATCAAGTAATAAATGAGAGTATTATGCCCAGATTATCGTTCCCACGAAGATAGAACTCTAATTAATGTCTTATACTGTTTTATAAAGAATGAAAATGAAAAGAAAAGTTAGTAATTGACCTGCTTGGTCAAACGTTCCCTACTGTCTTGACAACGTTCCTCAAGGACAGTAGGTTCAATCAGACAGTAAACAGTTCATCGCTTCGTTATGTATGTCAACCTTCTTGTTTAGGGAAGGAACAATAATATTCATGAGAGATTTATATATACAAGATTAAATAAAGAAAAATACAAAAAGTAATAACAATAATCAAGAGACAACATGGTGGATGGTTTAAAAACAATAATAACAGAAGGAACGGATCCACTGCTTAATTCATAAATAATTATTTTCTCTACTCAGGACTCAACACTTAAGTATTTGTTCCAGTTTCTTTTCTGCCAACGTCTGATTCCTCAGCTTATGGACTAGATGGCTCACAAGTTTCCATATTCCTATGGCTCCCTTGACTCCAACAGGTACTTAGTGCAGAACCTTAAAATGAACGAAGTGGCCCCTTATTCCTAAGCCAACCAGGAATACTGTTTCCACAGTACTGCCTTCCCCCTCTGGCTAAGCTGTCTGAAATTCCTTCTTTATGGAAGATCCTTTCTCAGTATGTGTTTGATTTCCAAAGATACACAATAAAGATAGCACACTTAACCAGAGAAACACAAAAGTTGTAATACAAGAGCTTCAAAAATAACTTTTTAAGAACTTTGCATTTTTTCCGTTCCACAGATAGTTTAGCCCATGGCTACTAGTTTAAACATAATTATTCCAAACTGAAGTCTCATAGACCCGAGATTCAGTTTAGATATAACGAGTGGAAATGAGAGAAATAACA